AAAAAAAAAAAAAAAAAAAAAAAAAAAAAAAAAAAAAAAATGGACGAAAAAAAAAAAGGTTGAAATAATAATAATAATAAAGAAAAGAGACGGAAATGTTTGTTATCCGGATGAAAAGTCCACGGGGGCGCAGCATCCAAGCCGAAGTCTCGATTTCACAAGTATTTTCCTACCGAGGGTACATCCTCTTCGTTTGAATGCTGCGCGAAAAGCGATTCTTCTCGTGACGCGTCGATTTTCATTTTTTCCCTTTCATTTTCTCGTTTTCTCTTCTACTCGCGCCTCGATATCCGCGTATCGAGCGCTATCCTCATTTTGCGACTCTTTGTTTCATGTTTTCTCTTTTTTCTTTTTTTTTTTCCCCCTTCTTTCGTTTCCTAAAACGCTTCCTGCGGAAGCTCGAAACGTTACCGCGATATTGCTCTCTCTCCCTTTCTCTCTCTATCTCGCTCTCTCTCCCTCTCATTCAACGGATTTCTTTGGCAAAACTTATTACACATAGGTCGTCGTTACTAATTAATAAATAATAAAGGCATTAAATAATCGGTATAGTAATAATGATGATAATAGTGTAATAATAATTATAATAATAGTAATAATAAGAGTAAGAATAATCATGAGAATAATGGGGGGGGGGGGAAAGATAGCGATAATAGCGGATAGAATAAAAAATAATAATAATAATAAAAAGAAGAATTCATAATCATCATCGTTATGATAATAGTAATAGTGTAACAATGTGAAGTACGCATTAGTCAATTACAATCCCGACAAATAATAAAATCGCAATGAACGTCAGATCGAATTCACTTGGCCAACCTTCGACCCTACGATGTGTACCGGAAGTGTGTTTGGAACGCTAGAACGCGAAACGATGGACAAACGGAACGGAAGATCGTTCACCCCTGTCTGCTGGTACGTAATCCTATGTATATCGCGATTGTGTAACAGCGTGAATACTCGAATTTGCTGCAGCCTCGGAACACGGTAACAGGATCGCGCGCATTTCCCTTTTCTCGCTGTCCCTTCGACTCGCCGATTTCCGGTTACTCCTGCACGCGATTTTACCACGCGCAACGCTGCGATACGAGGATTTATAAATAGCAATTACTCAGCGATGAGAGATCGCGGCTACAGATCCTTCGTCCTCGCGAGAAACTTGGCTGAAACGTAATCGCGTCGGCGGGCTCGAGTACCTAAAGGGTACCTAAAGAACGCAGCTAGCGGGACGGGACGAAGCATCGGTATCGAAATCATCGGTGACGTTTTGCCGGAACGACGACGAGTCGAACGAGAGATTCGAGCAAGCTGTTGTTCGTCTGACGCTCGGATCGATGAAACGATCTGACAATAGATTGCGAGCACGCTTCGGATCGACATGGTCGAATCGCGTCGGTACGATTCCGTGAACCGCGTCGAGCAACGATATCTGGGATAATAAAGTCAACGTTGGAAAGGTGAAAGACCGAGTACGAGTCGTCCGCTAAACGTTCGAATAAATATATTCTAATAAAATGCGATTGGAAGAAAAGTTTAAAAAAGAAAATAAAAGGGGGGAATAAATATAACAAGAGATTTCGAAATTATCGGGCTGTTATCGTTCACGCGAGGCACGCTCGAGAACATAATTCGTTAATTATGAGATAACTGTGATGCGTGCGAAATTGTGCTGGGAAACCCATTTCACGGTGGATTTCTCAAGCGAGACGTTGATAATCGTCTGTACGCGAGGCGGATAACCTAGGCGAATAATTAATTAAAATATTTTGACATATTCATTGCACCAGTTGCATTTCCATTAAATAGAAAGGACAAGGTGCAATTAACTTTGTAGACGGATAAAAGATGCCCGTGTAATGGCGAAATTAAAATAAGAAAATGTAGCAACAAATAAATACGTTCGAATTATACCGCGCACACGCGTACATGCTTCTAGGCGCAATGCGCATGCCCGGCGCATATCGTCCGCGCAGATCGCAGTACGTTGGACACGCGCGCGTAAATTTCCTTATTAAGGTTACAAATTAACATTTTTGCCCGTTAATCATAAAGAAATTGCGAGCACGTAACTTCTCATTAAAGTCGCCGTGGCTAGACGTTAATTACGGTTTCGTGATAGTTTTTCTTCTCTTTTCGAAACGTTCCGCTTGACGCGATGCCGGAAGCTACTTGATTTCCGTAGTAGTGGTGCGCGAGTGTGGCGAAGGCGTTGGACGGAACGCGGGAACAAGCACGATCGACTGGCCGTCAAGGAAGTGACCGTTGTTTCGTTCGGAAGAAAAAGTTCGAGTCGCGGGAAGAAGTTGGTTACATGGACGCGATAGTAGCCTACGGACGATTCGTGATCGACCATGGATGGCAGTTGTCGACCGAAGGTAAGCGTTTTTGCATTGCATCGTATCGGACCGCGATGGCGACCCGGCGCGCGTTTCACGACTTCGTTTCGCCTTTCACGCTTTCCCGATTCTGCCATTTGCATTCCCTCATTGTTTTGTACGCCGATAAGTCGATCCTGTACGTCGCTCGCAAACTCGCGTTCGTTTTATACATCTAGGAGTCGCTTCGAACCGCCATAAAACTCTGCCTTTGCCGTAGCTACGCGACGCACGCACAATTCTCGTTTCGGCAATCCGTCTGTGGTCTTTGGTTTCTACAAAAAATATATATAATATCCTTAACAGTAATGATCGTTACGTCGATTCCTGATTTAATTAGAAGAAAGAACGTGCCATGTTGGGCAGTTGACTCTGTCTGTTTTACAGGGGTAATATGTATAGTTTATATATATAATTTTTTTTTCTTCACTTTATATATATGTACACGTTCTAACGCCGTCGGTAACAAATGTGCCCAACTACATTCGCGTCGCGACGATCGAACGTCGAAACGGCGACGAGCGAACGACCCCGTTGGGAATGCACGGGCACATTTGGAGGGACGACCGATCGCGGGCATTGTGTAGAAATTATACTAACTGAGGATCGTTAAATTAAACTACCTACGATTATGCGCACTCTACATGAGTACCGACACTATCGGTAACGCACGCGGGTCAATCTGCAATCCCGACCGCGCAACTAGACAGCGTCGTGCTTAGTGTCGCTGGACCAGACACTCGTCGAGTCGTTGCCGTTCGTTCGGAATCGTAAATAAGATCGTCGACATCGGCGGAGCTACAGTGTGTTTCTGCGCCATGATAAAAGTATCACTCGTTAATAACGTCTATTAACCACGATTACCATGATCGGTCCGAAGTTACGCTAATCGCAACAGCGTTCGATGTTTCGATCGATTCGTTTTACCGACCGCTGTCGCACGTGTCGCGAGGGTAACGCGGCGCGACGATTCTCGATCTTACCGACCGTCGACCTCGCGTTCTCGGGAATTTCGAAAAGTCTCTATCTCTCTCGCGATTCTCTCGCATCGATCGACACGCGGAACGTATCGAATGCGTCGTGAACGATGAAAAATCGCGTTGCATTGACGCGAACGCGTATCTGGTCACAGTCCGCCATTTTTTCATCCTTTTCCTGTTCTTAACGGGAATTTGCCATGCTTATCGGTGTTCCGATCTTACTCGACGATAACGGTTCAAGATTGTTCGTTCCCGAACCGGTTGGTAAAGAGATCAATGCTTAATTCCATCGTGGTTCCTCGTGATATGGCGTCCGAACTCGTTGATCGCTATTCCCACTCCAGGAAGACACTCTGCCCGGAGTTGGTCTCCTGTACCATTGATTAATCAGGCCAGATAGAGGTCTGTCGGCGTGGAAGTGTGATCCGGTTTCGTGCATGCACTTCCGGTCGGCGAGGCTGCGCTCGCGCCACTGCTCGCCCTGGTAGCCGCCAAAGGCGAGCGACTAGCCACGTCCGTGCTATTCTCTGGACCTGTGTTGTTACATCCGCCGCCCTGCTGCGAATTGGTGTGGGAAGACGCCAGCGTGTCCCCGTTACAGTAGTAGTACGTAGAGTCTGCGAAACAACGTGACATTAATTTTCCGATACGCTCGCGCCATCTGGCACGGGGATCTTACTTTTTCATGCTATGATACATCGCATATCGTTCTTCGACCAAAATTAATTCCCTCGACGTCGCTTTTTAACGGGGTCTCGAAATTCCTCGAAAACCCTCTCCGATATCGATAATATCGTCGTTACGACGCTACTAGATTTATCCTACTAGCTTTAACCGCGTCGAGTGGTTAATTGCTTCTGGACGAAGAACAGGGTCCTAAAATACGGTTGGCCGTCGGTAAGATACCAAGCGCGAGCGAATTTTCGTTGCAAACGGGACAACCGTTTCGGGTTAGTTATGATCGCGGCGCGTTGCGAAATGGGCATTCTAGAAAGGGGAAAAGTCGAACTGCGAAACTTGGATTCTACGGTGTCGAGTACGGCACACGCGTTACGTCATATAGAAGGAACGAGCCGACAACGTATCGCATGTCCGATAAAAAATTGTTTATTATTCCGTCTATTCTTATGCACCGAATATGCACGCTCAGCCTGCGAGCATTTCACCCAGAGGTATCGCGATCTACGAAGTGCCCGCAATCGTCCGTTATGAAAGGCGAGCATTGAGTCGTGGCTACTTTAAAACCGGCCTGTCCACGATTCCGCGAGCTTTTTGTGGCCTGATCTTATCCGCGATATCTTGGAACGTAATAAAATAACGGTGGGTTTCTTCAGTTTTAGAAAGTTAGATCCGATTGTGCCAGAGCGTTTCTTCCATAATGCACGCAAAATACGTGTAAGAGACGGTAGTAGTTACGCGAGGTCCGTTCCGTCGATACCGTTCGGATTAGCCTATCAATGAGTTAGTACTTGACATTTCGTTGACCCTAATCTAATCGGTACTCATACTCACTGTTTACTTACTGAGCAACCCGCTT